TTATTATTTTTTGGGGGGTTAACGATGTCATATGGTTTTGTCCTTATTAATATAATTTAGGGGTGGGTGTAGCAAGAATATCGTAATTATATTACTAATTTTGTGTTGCATGGATGAAGGAAGCCATTGTCACCTTACACTCAGGGTTTCTCATCTGATGCGACTTGATAAATTATTAAAAAACAATTTAAATAGATTTTAACATTTGTATTCTGCTACTCATAAATTAAGTGGCTTCGATCTGAGCAGTTGGTGAAAACGGGTGGATTTCTCTTCATTTTGTTTAAAAAATGATTTCTTACACTTCTCTCCAACATAAAGAAATGACAATCACACCCTCAGGAACACTGGCATTGGCTTGAATGACAATAGTGGTTTTACTTACGAAATGATTTCAGTAGTTTGGAGTTGCAACTGGCATTCTAGGCGCGCCTGACTGACATCACATGTGTGATTTTCATTTGAGCCAGCAATAAATACAACACTGATATTTTCTCCATCTGGATCATAGGCCTCCAGGTTAATTTTGAAAGTGTCATTGATAAGAACATAGTTGATTTTTTCTCCAGTCAGTATGGGGGCTTTGTTGGCTGAAGATAAAATTAAATAATTTAACATTAAATGTTCTTCTTATTTGCCTTTTCAACTCTCAACATTTAATGGTGCTAAATATTGAAAAAATATATAAGTGTTAAAAGAACTTAAAAAGTGACTGTGTTGCAAGATGTTTATTTTAAAAATTTCACTTTGACACTCCTGACAATAAATCAGGCAAATTGGTTTGTGTGTGTGACTTAGCGTATTTATTTTTTCATATTTATACAGAGAGATCAAAAGCAATCACTGATTTATTTGATTTTAATAAACACTGCTAATTTAATTACTTTTAGCAAGAGAGTATGGCTTTAATATATTATGTTTAAATAATTAACAAGAACTTTTACACATAGGTAGTATTTTAAATCAACTCAATATATTTTATCTTTCTAGTATCTTCCTCACTTTCGCTAATGATAAACATGCATTTATATGATATTCATATAAAAACAGAAAAGCCATTAAAGGTATGGGATACTTACATATAATGGTTGTTATATTGTACTGATTATTTGCTGATGTGGCTGATGCTTGTGCTAATTGTAAATTGCTTGTTGCAATATAATCATACATGCAGGGAAGATTATTATTACAAATTTTTTGGGCTTCAGTCCGCAGAGATGCATCAAATTCTTCTAAAAATGCAGGCACAAAATCTGAAGCAGCTGTCAAATTTTGTCCATACTCAGGCTTAAATAAGATGCCTGTAGCTTCCGTTACTGACCCTTTAAAAATAAATGGGAAGAGAAACATAAAGATTTCAATTTTAATGTATTGTAAGTGAGAATATCAAATAAAAAAATCCTTAATTAAAAGTAATTTTAACCACATAGACAGAGTCTAGGGGGGTTGATAATTAGTACCAGGTAAGTAAGTTGAAATTTGATATTGTATGCCAATAAGTTTCACAGAAATAATTCTTGATACAGGTTTTAAAGTAGAGTCGTCAACCTTTACATGACTGTAACAAAAAAACATTTGATAGCCACTCAATGCTGAATTACACATCATGATTTTCATTCTAAAAGTGTGTGTGATGTGTTATTTTTTATAAGCATTTCTATGTAATAAAAGAATACTAAGTACGTTTCAATCATCAACACTATAAAATACTATTATATATAATAATGGTCTTATATTTATATAAGTGTAATGAAGGAACTTCAAGTCTGTTGGGCTAGTTGTAAACATTAATAAAAACCAAATATATTTTACATACCATACATTATTAATTTTATTTAGTAGTAGTAGAACAGATTGTGGACCACCTAAATATTTATATATATATATTTTTTAATCGTTTAAAATAGTAATTTTTCTTTTAATTGTGTATATCCAAAAGGCAATAAATTGCCATATGAATTATATCTTGAAATCATCACAAAATGTGTTTATATTTATGTACCTTCAGTGTATTCTATAAAGGGATGTTCAAGACAGAGTAAGGAATATCCACTTCAAATTTCAGGCCACTTCAAAGTCTAATTTAACAATTTGTTGTTAAACAATTCATTTATGGAATTAGAGTAGGCTTACGTAAGACGAAAATGAAGATTCCAGGAAACTTAAAAACATTTTTTTTGGTGCCGTTTCCTATATTTAATGTAGGTCTATTCATCCAAAAGTGTAGATATACCCTTAATGTGGCTTCTGAGGTATCTAAGATGTCTTTTCTGACAGCTTTGGACCTTTTTCTTCTCTTCCCGGGTGATTTGTAGACTTTTACACCAGACAGTTTAAATATTAGAAGCCTGTTTTCCTACTCTTTACATCATCATCATTTTAAAGTGGAACAGCATCATTAAGATATGCCCCTGCCTCCTCCAAAGTTGAATTTAATTTTTTACAGCAATTTTTTTAATTCAATAATTCTATGGTGTTCTGAGTAGGGTCTTTCTGTGAAAATATTTCCACCTAATATTTCTGCGTGATCTTTTCTGCCACCATACTAACAATAATGAATAATTAATAGTGATGGGGCTGATTACTGATGAAGAGAATGACTGATTCAGTAAGGCCATTGTCATTATCATAAATGATTTATACATTGACAATGTAGGCCTATTTGTAGTAAAATATATTTTACAATAGGCCTAATTTTAATATAATCTATTGATAATATAATAAACATTTTTTTTTTAATTATTTTACCAGTTTACCATGATGACAGGCCATTTGACTTTAATTTAGATTTAGACAACTTACTTGTGACACTGTGAGTTTGATTTTCATAACAAAATCATAAACGTTCTTTTCATTTGTATAAGTATAGGCCTACACAGTCAGTAGGCTACACAAACAAGTACAAGAGTTCTTGTTTTGTTACCCATTTAAATATTGTATTATTAGGTAAGGCCTACTTCACTAAAAATTTCAAAGTTGTTATAATATAGGCCTATAATATTAATGAATGAAACTTATAGTGCCTATCATTGGAAAGGATTTAGAATTTAGTATTTCCTTTTCATTGATATCAAGTTTATTTTTCTATCTTAATTATTAATTAGAAAAGAAGTTTACGCATTTTTATTGATTGTGAGTCACAATTTTTCCTTATATAGGGCCTATAGACTATAGATTATATACTTTAATAATTTCCAAAATTCTGTGATCGAAAAATAGGGCCTACATCTTTCACACTCAAAATGATTGAAAAATGCGACAACTTTTTGTCAGCAAAGTTAAAACTCTGAAATTTGCAGCGCATTTAATTATAATTTCAGTAAAAATGTAGCGCCTGTTCTCAAACCGAAACCTAAACTACTACACTCAAAAAAATGCAATACAACATTTTTTCCTGTGACTTAAATTGTAAAGTTAATTTTTTTCTTTCACTTTCATTCAAATTTTAAGCACTAGCATAGTTTAATTAGATATTGGGCATTTAAGGAACAATGAGTCGCTCACTAGAATTAGATTTCAAATTTCAATAATATAAATCGTTCGAATAATTATTGAGGGGATGGAGAGGGGGGATGGGGATGGGGAGAGAGAGAAATGGGGGAACGAGAGACAAATAAATACAAAATACTTAAGACTTAAGAGTGATCTCCCCCAATTTTGCTTATCTGATTAATTTTTTCGTATTTTAGTATAAACATTACGAAATTGTTGTTTTAGCATCGTATTAACAAATTGTACTCAATAAGAACTATGCACAATTTAATTTGAGTGTGGTATATAAACGTGAACATTAAAAAATATTTTAGCACTTAACATATTGAATAAAAAGTTAGTTTAGAAGTCAAATGCAAGCCCATTTTACAAACTATGTGATTGTGATCTTAAATGCACAACTAAAAATATCCTATTTTTCTATTTTATAATTTTCGTACAAATTTTACGGGTCTTCTACTTCAACCTTAATTACAAGGCCTGCTTTTGAATTATTTATACGATTCATTATCAGATTAAAAGATTTTAAATAGAGATAAAGAATTTAGAGAATATTTATACACGCACACCAAATAATGATTTTAGTGAAAAAGAAACGTTTTCTGGAGATATTGATGAGATACCTTAAAAGTATAGGACTTTATAACTTAGGAACAAAAATAGTACAGGAATATCCTTGAATGACATTATCACAAGTAATCTTCATTTGATTTCTTTTTTCACCGCCAGTTTGACTAGTAAGAGGTGTAGGCCTATATGATTTTTCCCTATGTGTGTTTTTTTTTCTTCTTTTTTTTTTTTTTTTTTTTTGTATTTTTACATGGTCCTCGGATTAATTTTTAGTATAGATTAACTATGGCTGGTGTCAAAAAAAATAAATTGAATTTATTTAATTTTAAATTTTTTTTTTTTTTTTTTTTTTTTTTGTGTATTTTTACATGGTCCTCGGATTAATGTTAAGTATAGACTAACTATGGCTGGTGACAAAAAAAATAAATTGAATTGATTTAATTTTAACGTGCTTTATAACTAACATTTCCAAATAAAAACGTTAAAATAAGTATTAAAATTACGCCCAAAACCCTTTTTGTTAACTACTCATTAATTGTGATCACCAATTTGTTGACGAATTTCTAGCACAGTCCAAATTGATATGAAATAATTGCTTACATTCTGTCCCAAACTGACGTATTCAAATTTGGAGCAATACACTATATCAGCCCTGCACAACACAAAATGTAAGCCGGGCAATAATACTTTATGAAAGACTATGCGGTCTGAAATAAAAAAAAAGGGCACGGAGGGAAATCTTTTAAGAAAATAATAATAAAAAAGAATAGTTCGTTACTCTGCCGGACGCAGAGTGGGTGCTGGAGGGCCACATGCGACCCGCGGCCGTATGTTGTGCAGGCCTGCACTATGTTTTTGTTGTTTTCCCACACTGACTTACATGTTTTGCCAAAATAAAATTTCTCCCTTTCAGATGCATTTTGACTTAAAGGTTTTCTGCCATCAGGAAATTGATAGTCGTCAGCCTTGATATCATTGAAGTTTCCAAGTAACCCTCTAGTTTTATTCTTGTATTTGGTATCTAAGACCACTGCAAATTCCAACAGCTTATTTGTAAGAGTTACATTCACTGCAACACCTGGGCATGAAGATTTTTAAAAATTAAAAATTACTTTTTCCTGAGTCATTTAAAAAAAAAAATTACATTGTACATAACTAGTTTATAAAATGCAATATAATTATATGTTTTCTCTGAAAATATTTTCAAATGACACTAAATGGGCACATTATGTTCTGAGCACATATTTAGTCATATATAAGCCTACCTAATAGCAGATAAAATTAACTTAAAGCTAAAAGTGTCAAATAAGTTTATAACATACATATTTTGTTGGAAAAAAAGTCATACGTTCATAATCATTTAGTGGAATAAATCTTACTGTCAGATGAGGAGATTTGTAAAGAGTCTTCTAGTTTCCTCAGGGTCATGCCGTTTACGGTCGCATTAAATTGTTGTTCGCCGTAGTATCGCACACTGTAGTCCTGATCATTGGCATAGATTATCATTCCTACAACAGGAAAACATTGACTCATCAGGTACGATCTAACTTTTCAAAGTCTCTAAAAGTGCAATGAAATAATAAAGTTAGATTTAAAGGTAGCTACATCAATGATAAAGATGATATAAATATTTTAAAAAATAATTAAATAAAAATAAGATGATTTTTTTTTAAAAAATGGTAACTTAACGTTTAGTTTTGTAAGAGTCCTGAATAAGAGGACTTCCTGCGCAATCCCGTATCTCCAACTTTTACACAATGTTCGGTATTTAAGACTTATCACCAAACATAAAAATGGAATCCTGCAAATTATGTCCGCTAGATATTTGAAACCAGGGGCGTCATTTAAGTTGGTTTTTTCAGGGGGGGGGGGGGGGGCAAAAAAAAAACTTGTTTGTCTCGTTAAGTTGCTTATCACTGGTGGCGCCAAAGCACATAGCAATTTAAATAAAATCTGCAAATTCAAGGGGAGGGGAAAATTTTCCCATTACCATACCCAAAACGCTAGATATTTGAAACCAGGGGCGTCATTTAAGTTGGTTTTTTCAGGGGGGGGGGAGGGGCAAAAATAAAACTTGGTTGTCTCGTTAAGTTGCTTATCACTGGTGGCGCCAAAGTACATAGCAATTTAAATAAAATCTGCAAATTCAAGGGGAGGGGAAAATTTTCCCATTGCCCTACCCAAATGACGTCCTTGTATGAAACTAACATTAAATTAGATTAAAGATTTATGATTTAAGTTGTAAAGCATGCGCAAAAATAACAAACTGAAAAGAAATAGACAAAGCATGGCTCCCTTGTTGTCTTCTGTGAATACATTTACCCTGAAAGAAACTAACATAAACACTATTAGCGTGTTTATTTACCACTGCACGCGCAGCGTAAATGTTCACAATGTGCACCGCCTCTCTGTAGACCGTGTTCATAACGTTCCCGTAATTTTTTCAAACATATCAGTGAACAATGGATGCTGCAGATTCCTGCGAAAGGAGACTTTTTTTTTAATGGCGTAATACAGGCACATCATTTGGTGGATCTTCACATTTGGACACACTCTCCTTTAGGATTCTCCAGAGGAAGACATCAGTTTGCGTAAGATTAGTAACGTGAGACGCGTATGGAAAGTCAGTACCTGGTGAAACAGTTCGTCTAGGAAATCCTTAATGCACCATGGCAAAAGATTCTAGAGAGGTTAAGTTGGTCACGTCGTCCTGTGGATAACATTGACTTTAAATGTGAAGGTGTCCTGGCACGACAGAACTTTCTTAAATCCTGAAGAAATGCTTCGATCCCCTTATGCCCCCTGTAGCGTTTTTGATTGACGGAAAAAGCATTGCCTTCCTCATCGTCAATTAAATAGGGGCCTAATACGCCATGTGCTTAAATGGCACACCAGATTGTCACACTGGCACTGCTCAGTGGTTTCAGAAAAATAACAACTAGCCGCTCAAAATCAAGGACGTGACCTGGCTGGCGATTGATGCAGCCATCCTAGTGAATGCGGCATCCTTCCAAGGATCAATAGTCCCTTAAGAAAAGGATTCTCTTAAACCAAGTCAAAAATGTCTCTACAATACATAAAACTTGCTCGCATATCCCATGACTCTAACAAGTGTTCTCCAACCTGTATCTGGTACAAGACTGCATCTCTATCCTTAGACAAAAGGTGAATTGGGCATATCGCCTATATTAGTTTCAATGGTATTCTTCGTAGACTTCATAAGGGAGTATGTAGAATCTGCTGCAGGAAAAGGGCGATTGAACGTCTGGGCTGGGCTGAAGCAATTTGAAAAAAGCAATGCTTAATCCTTTTCATAAACGTTTTGTTTTTTTTGTATGGAAAAGTGGAGCTAATCTGGTCTTCAAAGGACCAGGCAGGCATGACTCTCATCGGTTATCTCTAGTTATCGGGTGTTTGAGTTTTTTTATTCAGCTCATTTAAAATATCTATACGTTGAAAAATATGGAAAACTCAAGTTAATTTATTGAATTAAATATTTGCAGTTCCCAAAGCTTACATTGAAAAATAATTCTTTTGATTAGGTCAAAACTCTGTCAGACTGAAATAATTTGAACTACACACATACAAGCAGGGGCGTAGCTAGGGATTTGGGGGCCCGGGGGGCTTGGCCTCTTTGGGGGCCCCTGCATTTTGACATTCGACATTTTTTAAGTTAAAAAAATTCCGGACACTCCTTTGGGGGCCCCCTTCAAATAGGGGCCCGGGGGGACTTTCAAATTTCGATCCCCTTCCCCTCCCCTAGCTACGCCACTGCATACAGGATGATATTTGATAAAATACTAAATAAAAGATATATCACTTGTGCCATTATCATTCATGGATATCCTCATGGTGTCGTTGTTTGTGCTCATCATGGCCAGTCCACACCAGATTGTAGCATCAGTTAGATTACCACTTCGGCCTACAGCACGACATGTTCGGCCCTAAGGATGACAAAATGATAAATCATTCCGAGTTATGGAAATAATGAGGTTATCATAAAAATTGCCTGAGGGTGGATTACAAAAAAAAAAAAAATACAACCAAAAGAAAAAATTTAAAATTTTTGCTTGTGAGTCCCAGCATTTACTGTATCGGCCTACAGCACGACATGTTCGGCCCTAAGGATGAAAAAATGATAAATCATTCCGAGTTATGGAAATAATGAGGTTATCATAAAAATTGCCTGAGGGTGGATTACAAAAAAAAAAAAAAAATACAACCAAAAGAAAAAATTTAAAATTTTTGCTTGTGAGTCCCAGCATTTACTGTAAAAAAATAATACTAATTATAATACTGATAATTACAACCTCTATTCCAATACCTACCTTATTGTTGTCTTATATTTAGAATTTGTTATGTTAAGGAATGAAATGATATCAAACTAATTCCTGAAATATATATATTATATATACATATAAGTAAACATGAATACTGAGATACAAAAATAACCGATTTCAAGAGTGAATTTTATATTTTTAAGTTAACTCTAAAAACATTTTAGGCCAACTTATATAATATAGAAAAAAACAACTATTTTCTTACCTGCATCTTGAAATTCACATCTTGGGTGTTTATCTCTAAAATTCTGTATACGCCTTCGCCATTAAATATGTATGCTTCCTGGTCCAATGTAATGACATGGGGATCCCCGAACAGCGACGCTTAATGGATAACAAATAGACAAGACGGTATAATTACAATGTTTAAACGAGAGTGTGATGCACTTTTCCAGCAGGGATTCATCTACATTAGTTGGCTTAGCATACTAAGCACGCCTTAGGCTGGACACATAATGAAATGTTAGCAGGTGGGGTAATGTATCCAAATAGTACGTACGCTCTAAAAAGGGGGGGGGGGGTGATTTTTAGAGAGTTTGCGAACGCGTGCGTACGGCTGGGGGGGGGGAGGGTTGTCTCAGTAGAAAGTACATACATTTAATCATAAATTGAACAATTATCATCCTGAAATTCTAACATTCCAAAAAATAGCTTATTTATTTCTCGAATGCTTTGAAAATGTCCCGCAGTGGTTTGTAGGAAGTATCGTCATAATGTTGCGATGTATTTTCATAAATGAACTCGCCAGATATAACTCAGTGGTAGAGGTTTACAGTAATATTTAGACCCTCGTATGTGACGTATGTACATGTGACGTATATAGTGTTGGGGGCATGGCAGTGATTCCTAGATAATTTGTTAAATTCTAGGTGCCTATGCCAAATGTTGGGTTTTCACCAAGCGACATGTGTTAAATCCTAACAAGCACTCTTCGAAATAGCGAATACACAAACAAAATGTTATGAAAAAGGGTTGTATAAACATAAATATAACACCTATATAGGGCGCTAAGCGTCACCTGGTAGCTGCAAACAGTGGTTTTTCATGTGAGTTACAGTAAAAGGACAATTTTTAGCGCCCCGCGCATTTGTGAAGTGCATTAAATTTTAGAGTTTTATCGACTATTAAGGTCTTATCTAAAGACTATTTTGCCCCCCCCCCCCTTCTGATTTTGGCGACCGGTGCTATTCGCATCATTCTCATGTCTGAAGGCATGGTGTTTAATTCGAGAGTTCGCAATGAATATTAGAAGTACAAAAAACTGACAGTTCAAAATGTGTAAGGACATTATTGACTAATCATTATAAATATTGATGACAAACTTAAATTATCGAATGATATTTAACAAATTAAATTGTATTTTAGCATGCGTATAATTTTTGTGTTTGTTTCAATTCTGATTTATTTTAAATTCGATGAATTGGGTTGGTGTGAATGTGCGCAATGAAAACACATTGAAAAAACCCCACTTTTACGACAATGATTTGAAGTTGATATTTAAAACTCTAATGACCATACTAGAAGGTTAACGTTCAAATCTCAGCTTAAACCTGACAGATAATATAGACAATCCCTCCCCACTTTTCCAATAAAAAAATATAAAAAATATTCAGGAATGGTAGAGTTTTCTTTCCAATATTTATGTTTTTTAAATGGAGGAAATAAAAGGCAGGCCGGGGTGCGGGCGGGGGGGGGGTGCGGGATCATTATTCCATCAGAATGGAAGCAACAGCTTCCTTTCCCCTCTTTATAAACGCCCGTGGCCTACAATACCCTCAGAACTATTAAATCCATGCGGGTCAGCTTTCCTGTCCAACATAGAACTCACAAGCCACCGGCTTACTTCCCTTTGATTATAGCCGTGCCTTTAGTCATCTTCCCGTCTGATGGACGCACAACAACATACCATATGAAATTAGCATTATATCATACACAAAATGTAAATCTTATGGTAATTATATTATTATTAACCATAAAGTATGGGATATGTTAGGTGAGTAAACTGCCATATTTGAATTAGTCTTAAGTTTTTAGCACAGGCTAATAATGATAATTTAATTATTTTTTTTTTAAATTGAAAAAGCACAAGTAATACAAACTTATGATCCGTTTCCTTACCTCTTGCCCATTCTGTAACAGCACACGAACGGGTTGGTCTCACAGCATAGTAAAGATCGCAGAGGTCTGACTTCTCGCAGCACCATTGTTTGGGAATGACATCATGGATCACGTGATTACCCAACCGACTGCCGAGTGGGTTATATTTCTGCAGGCTCCCGGCCAGTGGTGGACGATTTTCAAAGTTGAAGCTTCCATCAAGACGGTAGCAACATCTCTGTCAATATATATGTATACACATATATGACAACATACAGAGAGAAATAAAAGGGGAAGGCTACGCTTGCCAGGACACTTAGAAAGAATGCCAAATGGCAGAGGAGTGAAGAAGGTACAATATCAAAAACCCAAGAGGAAAACGCTTAAAAGGATGGATGGATGATGTGGGAAAAGATCTAAAACGGCTTGAAATCCAAGCATGGAAAAGAAAAGCATTAGTAAGTCCGATTGGTAAGGAATAGTGAGGCAGGCCACAGCCTTAGTGTGGCAGTAGTGCCACAGGGATGGATGGACACAGATATGGCAGTTTGAGAATTAACAAACTTAAGAATATAGACCTAACAAATTTCTCATATCTTACTTACTCTTCCATAGTCACCGTAGATAGGGATTACTTCATAGCAACGTTCTTGTTCAGTTGATCTTAACCACAGGCCGCTGGAGAATGCGGCAAACTCGTTACAAGGACACGCTGGGATGGCTGAGTTTCTTTCTAACAATTCTAGCCGATACAAACAAATTACATTTTTAATGTTTAAAAATCGAAGTTGGGGAACGTGGAAATTGCTTGAGCCCACGATTCAAGAAAGCGTTGCTAAGATTACAATAATCATTTTGTTACGTTTTTTTTAATCCCTTCTCTCTCTTTACTCCCACCCCCAGCTCTCTCTCTCTCTCTCTCTCTCTATTTTTTTTCTCTCTCTCTATGTTTACTTTGTGCACCTAATCTACATTTCTGTTACTTTTCATGAACCATGATGAACCAAAAGGCTGTTATTATTCAGCAATTGACGTTTGATGGATGTACACCTCATCCCTTTAAAGATTTATCTTTGGATTTATCAAGTGTATTTTCGGTGACAACAATAGATCATAAAGTCATTTATTAACGTACAAGTAATTAATTTATAACTTCATAAAGTCCATATATTACATCAACAGAATGTAATCGTGTGGTTGGAAAAAGTTTCACAATGTTTTGAAATCGAGTCGGGGGGAGTGGGATGAGGCAAGCTAAATGTATTTGTGTTGTGAACATGGTAAATAAATAAATTATTTACTAGTAAATACAACAGCTATTAGCCACTTCGTCCCAACTTCGCGATGAAGTAACACATTGTTTTCTAGGTCCTAGGGGCAAGAGATGGCCCAATAGAAAAATCTGGTCAAAATGCTGAGATATTTGAATAATTTTGTTTAATAAAAAATCATTTTTTGATATGATTAATATATATTTTTCGGTGTTTACCTTTCAGAGCATTTTGCTAAAATCTTGGAAAAAATGGACAACTTTATTTATAGATTGTGCTTTTGTCATGTTGGGTAGATGGGGACGTAACCGTGTAGAGACTATGAGCCATGGGGCAATCATTTTAAGCAGATATTTTAAAAATTTAATGGCCGTTATTTGTGTTCCTCTTAAATGGATTACCTGGCAAGTCTTTGAGATTCGTTTGATACCAGTTAAGGCACTTTACTTTCAAGTTTTCCTTTTCTCCTATTTTGAAAAACCAGCGGCCTGGGGCTTGAAATAGAAGAAAGAAAAAAAAGATTGCAGTTTTAAAAATTAGTTCCTTATTGTTAACAATAAATATTTTGTACATTTTAATTTAAGCAAAGAAAATCCAAATTGTTATATTGTCCCAGCTGCAGTTTTGTCTTGCCCCTTTGGTATCGCACCCTGATAAAATGCTGCCCGGGGCGAGATCCCAATAGCTCGCCCCTAACACACACGCATACATACATCGTTTATATATTATTTCATATAAACCCTAAAAGTGCAGTACTATTTGAACCCCACCTAGTACGCAACTGAGCGACCCATCTCTAGCTTTGAACGCGAGTTACGTCTTATCAAGTTCTGATTGCCCAAAGGTAGATCTGGAAAAACGTGCCTAGGACCGCTGGGGCTCATGAAATATCTGAATTTTATTGTACGCCTTTCAAAGCCAGCGTGGTTAAAAGAAATTTAATTAAGACTTTTTAGTTTTCCTTTTTAACTCCTAGTGGATCGTAAGCTATTGTTACCATTACAAAGACATTTCCACTCCTCCCGGTCTCTTGCTATCTTCCCTAACTTTTTTTGAACTCAATCCGTTCTTAAGCACACTCTTTTCTGCAGCTCTACCCAAGATGTGTTTGGGTTTTACCCATCATTTTTATCCTTAAATTAATTAATTTAAAAAAAAAAATCAACTCCACTAGAACTTAACAGAGCACAGTTTTTACACCGGGACCGGGTATTTTGATAAATACCCGGTGTGTCAAAGTATTATAAAAATGAGTTTACTTAGAATTTTCTATAATTTTAAGCCAGCCTTTAAACCATAGTCCTACACACAGCCCTGTAAGCCTTACTTCCCGCCACTAAACAATTGTCATACAGACAGTCCCACATCCTACCTTCCGGCCTTTTAACAACACGGCTACAGACAGTCCTACACCATACCTGCTAGCCTTTCAACAATAGGCCTACCAACTGTCCTACGTCCTATCAAAGACTCTGTATTGATTAATATAATAGTCGCCCTTGCCCCACTCTTAAATTAAAAACTAAAGCCAATTATACAAGTTCAACCATCATGCATAAAAGCTCGCTGCGTGACAGTTTTTTTTTTGTCCCTTCGTACTTTTAATATGAACATGATGAATTGTGTAATGGCGTGCTTGAAGAAGAAGCAGGACACACCAGCAGAAATATATATATATATATAAGAGATTATATAGATGTCATATCCTTAAATTGATTGATAACAAAATCTAGCTTACCACCAGTGTTACCCAAGATTTGATCAAAGGTGTAGTAGCTGGATCTTTTAGTATCGAGATTTGTACTTCCCCAGCCCACCTCCACAGGTCTGGCCGTACTTGGGTTAAAGTTCATGTTGCCATTACTGTATATGTACATTGCATACGTTGTTTCCCCGTCCGTTATTACAATACATTGGAATGACACACGCTGTAACATTAAATGCGTATGATGAGCATCTTACGATGAGAGAGGTTGACTTGAATGAACGAAAACACTTGACATTTCTTTAATCTCCTCTTTAAATCCAGCAACCTGGAGGATATACGCTTCCGAAATATGGTAAAAAAGAAAGGAAAACTTGTAGACAAAGGTCAGGGCTTTGCAACACACGCAATTTGCCGTAATGATTCATCGTAAAGTGACGAGTAAATGAGGCTTTAATTTTAATAAAATTTTTGACTTGGTCAGACAAACAGACGCGATTAAAATTTACCGAAATTTAATTTTTAGTCATGTTTATATTTAGGGCCACCCATTTAGTTGCCCTAGTGATCGGGGTGGGGGGGGGTGGGGGAGGTCCATTCTATGCAAACAGTTTAACGTTCTTATCAAGCATAATATGAGTTCATGTTTAAGAACACTACCTCGTCACTGGAAGAATCAGCTGGGACTTCCACCCACGTGACCACAAGAACACTAAGGGCGTCGTACGTCTTTTTGTCATTGGAGTGTTTGACGACCTCGGCATTGGCGGCACTGAAGATTTCTTTGGCTCTTTCGCTGGTGGCATTCTCCTTTTTATAAAGCTGGGAAAAAAAATGTGAGCATTTCGCTTTGGCCGCTTTTATCTCTTGGGTAAGAAAGATATTAAAATGAGAAGTTAAAATCTTCTGATTCTGGTTCTGATAGACTACGTTGCTGCAACCAAGTCCTGGCATATGTGCAAAATGGTTTAGGAAACGATGCGGCCACCCTAATAGCTCCTAGCGGGTACCAGGGCAGCCTTGAAACTCTCGATTGATTTCGAGTCCACGGCGGCATTGTCCAGTTGGTTTCAAGCAATTATTGTTCGTGGGAAGACGTGTATGTCAGGTGGGCGTAACAAACGTCCCGATTAGACCGGAATCCGCCTAGTTGGGCATAGTCAATGTTCCGGTTTCAACGACATTATAATGATGATTCGCGGGAAACGATTTTCAATAATCAAAAATTATAATGAATATCTGCATCGTCATTTCAAGTTCACAAGAAAACGAGCAAAGCCATTGAAATATTTCATTACGCAATAACCACATCCTCTTAGGAGCCAGCTAACCTATGCTTGCTTACCAGACTATACTATTTAACTTGACGAACATAAACGTCTGTTTACACTCCTTGTACCTACAACATAACCCCATACAGCCATTGCTACAACATAACCCCATACAGCCATTGTCATTCGCGACACTTCCTATAAAAAAATAAAAGCTGGCTACACAAAATGATAATAAAGGGGAGAGAATGCAATCAGGTAAGCGAAATAGGAAATGAGTAAAACAAAATATGGTCAAACCTGAAAAAAGAAATGCAATTACAAAAAAAAAACAACAACAAAAAAAAAAAAAAAAAAACAAATAAAAAAAAAAAAAAAAAAAAAAAAAAAAAAAAAAAAACGCTGCATTCCTATTTTCAGCTTTGACCACTCACAATGAGTTTGACCACACAAAATGAGTTTGACCACACAACATGAGTTTGACCACACAAAATGAGTTTGACCACACAACATGAGTTTGACCACACAACATGAGTTTGATCACACAACATGAGTTTGACCACACAACATGAGTTTGACCACACAAAATGAGTTTGACCACACAACATGAGTTTGACCACAGTAAATGAGTTTGACCACACAAAATGAGTTTGACCACACAACATGAGTTTGACCACACAACATGAGTTTGACCACACAACATGAGTTTGACCACACAAAATGAGTTTGACCACACAACATGAGTAGGGCCAGCGTAACAAACCTGGTAAAAAACTTGTGCTTTCTCATCGCTTGAGATCAGATCGAGGTCAGCCCAGTAAACTGCTAGAAGCAGTTGATTAGGAACTGGTAATCTTGATGGAGTGAAACTGGCATTTTCTTTGCCAAAGCTGAGTAAACCATTGATGCTTATCTTAAATGAAAAAAAAATAATATTATCATTTACAATAATGATTATTAAAATTATGTGTGACCTTACTGCCTTAATGCGGATTTATGTGCTGGTGTTGACATTATGCATATATAGAGGGGTCAAAGTAAATTTTAAACAAAAATTGTAGCTTCTCAAATGGAAGATTAGCCTCAGCTAGACGGTCAAGGAATATCTCCATGTATTATTATATTAATTGTTTTAAAAAGAAATGCTCAAAAACTTTCACCAAATACATCATATCCAGTTTAGTCAAGATGTAAAGAAGTTTTAAATTTAAAGAGAAATGTTATGCATAACAGAGTTAATATATATATATATATATATATATATATATATATATATATATATATATATATATAAAAACATATAATACATTATTGTAAAAATATAAAAAAATGTTATATATATAGAGAGATATTATATATAAAAGAGAAAATATATATATATATATATATATATATATATATATATATATATATATATATATAACAACACATTTAACTTATTTGAAAATTCTTACAAAAATTTTGTCACTCAGCTGTGATCCATAAGGGAATAACGATTCTATCGTAATTTGTCTTGTGACAAATTCTTCATCCCTTGGCATCCTTTCATCAGACTGGAACTCACCGAAGCCGAAAAATTCTAAATTTGGAGATATTTATCTTTAAACAAACCACTGGAAAACATTTCTTTTCATTTTCAAAATATTTAAAAGCATGCTTCATTCAAAAATACGGCTTGCAAAATAAAACTTTCACAATTTTCTAAATATATAAAACTGAGTAGGCCTACGTAAGGTTTTTGCAAAAGTTCATCCTTCAGTGCATGTAAGCCCCCCCCCCCCCCCCTCTCCCCAACTTCTTTTTTTTTTTTTTTTTTTTTTTTTTTTTTTTTTTTTTTGAAGTCCAGAAATTTAAGAGCAATTTAATCAAACTAAAGCAGAAATTATTTTAGTTTGGATCTTTTACAACAAAAGATACAAATTTTACATTTACCATAAGAGGAAATGTGAAAGTCTCACGCATTCTCGTGAATAAGTGTAACAAACGATCACTTGGGCGCTCATGATCAATTGGATATTTCCCGTTCTGCTTCATTTAAAATTTAAATAACTGGGTTACTCTGGTTGAATAGTGTTATAAGAAGCTTGTCAAAAAAAAAAAAAAAGGAAATTGTACGTACCATTTTCAATAAACCTGTGGACAGTTAAAAATAGGCATTAAAACGATTTGCCAATTAGCCAAAGAAATCGCTCCTGCACTGACAATCCTCTTCCAATCGTCACTATGCACAGGAAATGTTCCAGCAGACTGGAGAACAGCGCATGTCACTCCAATTTACAAGAAAGGAGAGCATTCCGACCCTGCCAACTATCGTCCGATATCCCTCACTAGCGTCGTCTGCAAACTGTTGGAGCACATAATCGTAAGCTCTGTCATGAAGCATCTTGAAAGCCAAAATATACTCAATGACTGTCAACATGGCTTCCGAGTCAATAGGTCATGTGAGACCCAGCTTCTCGAATTTGTAGAAGACTTGATGACCAATCTGGAGAACCACAAGCAGACTGACGTGCTAGTAATGGACTTCGCAAAAGCATTTGACCGGGTGAATCATAGTTTGCTTCTACACAAACTCCAGATATATGGGATTCAAGGCACCACTAAAACATGGATCTCTAGCTTCCTCAGCCACCGACGCCAAGCAGTAGTGGTGGGCGGTACAAGCTCCTCCTTTGTCAATGTGAAGTCAGGGGTCCCCCAGGGATCAGTCCTGGGCCCCTGTTTGTTCCTAGCATACATTAATGACCTACCGGAGAAACTGACATCACAGGCAAGACTGTTTGCAGATGACACAGCAGTGTATAGGACGATCGCCAACAGATCTGACCAGGACCAGCTACAACAGGATCTCAATCTGTTAGCTGAGTGGGAGATGAGCTGGGACATGGAATTTCACCCTGCCAAGTGCCAGACACTATCAATCTCTAGAAGTTGTACTCCTCTACACTACCAATACAAACTGCACGGCCATATTCTTGAGCAAGTTTCCTCCGTAAAGTACCTGGGTGTTACCATTCAAAGAGAGGTCCGCTGGGACGAGCATATTAACAATGTATGTAACCAAGCAAACCAAGCCTTGGGGTTCTTAAGGCGAAATCTAAAGATTGGCAACTCCTGTGTGAAAGAAAGAGCATATAAAGCCTTTATCCGTCCGATTTTAGATTATGCATCTTCAGTCTGGGACCCATTTACCCAGAAGAGCATTGACAGGTTGGAGGCGGTCCAGCGACGAGCAGCACGCTTTGTCCTAAACCGCTACAGGAATACCTCTAGTGTTGGCAGCATGCTAGAAACACTAGGCTGGTCACCATTGGAGAAACGACGACGACAATCCAGGCTCTCCATGATGTACAAGATAAATAATGGGCTGGTCCACTGTTCCAGTATTAAACAGAAACTCGTCCCTCTCCCCCATAGACAGCGACGAGGCCATGACAGGCAATTCAGGCTCATACCAGCAAGAAGCCAGTATAGGAGCTGCTCATTCCTGCCCAAGACAATCAGGGACTGGAACAATCTTTCAAAAGGAATGGTTGAGGCGACAACACTAGACACATTTGTGTCTATTGCCTCAAGCCTTCAAACCCCCAGTGCATGATTCCCTCACAAAGTGGCACTGGAAATCTGTGAAATTTCCTCATCAACACCAGGAACAGAAACATTGCAAATCCCATCTACATGCATAGGAGCCAAAATGATCAATAAATTGATCGTGGGCCCTTAAGATATAGAAGAAGAAGAAGATTTGTGACAACAAAAGTTGGGTTGCATGATGATAATAATCATTATTGTCTAAAAACTCTCTATATAACTCAGCATCGTTAATAGCATATAGCCATTGACCAACTCCCGTTTGTTTAAAGGGATCACTGTCTGGTTGCCCTGTTCCAAAACACAGTGTCCCTGTAAATGGTATTGGAAATGTAAATTCAAAAAACATTTTTTTTTTCAAAAGTAAGCCCAAAGGAGGATATTATCTTCTAAAGGAAAAAAAAAAAATCCCGTTTTAGTTTATAGTGAAAAAAAAATTGCGTGCACATTTTGTTTAAACAATAAAACTGCAGCAGCCTTTTATAATTTTTCAGTTGAGGTAGACAAAAAAATAATCTTACAATGAGAAAATCACAACGCAATAGATAAATTGAAAATCTAATTCACAGTTTGCTGCACTTTTCAAAATACTTTTAGAGTTACAAATGACTTTATCACAGAGCAATTCAAGCTACTGAATATTGTATTCAATAAGTTTTCAACGGAAATATATACTCATTTATTATATTGGTGGTTTTTAAAATACATAATATTCCGAATATAAATGTTTTATTTTTTTCTACAAGATACGTTCGATCTTAAACAACACTTACTCCCTGAGGTTCCCACAATTTTGTACCAAACGACACAATTTATAAAATGGCAAAGAGGCTTGCAGACACTGACTTAAAACATAGGTTTTTACCACTTATTAGTCGCTCATTAACTTTATCTGTGACAAATTGTATCATTATTGACTATGCACTGAAAGTTGAGATTTAATACAAAAGCATTATTGTAATGAAGAAACGATTAACCCAAACACCACTGTATTGTTTTTATCTTTTACTCAGAAACATTTCTTGGGCTTTTGTTGTATAGTTGATACCTGACACCCTGTTATATGAATGTCTTACTTACTGACAGAACCAGTCGTTGTCGTGCCTCTGTGTACAGTTGTGATGACTGCTACACGTCACACACACAGCAGGAACTGGGGGATTTTAAAAAAATATATATTTTAAGCAAAAAATAGTTTAAAATTTAGCCTACAAATTTACTGTGTGTGGCATGAGATGTTGTTTCAGTAAAATCAAATGTTTCGACACCTTTTAGGATAAAATAAAATAAAAATATAGCAAATTATCAAGTTCATATTTTAAATAGTTATTTTCTAAGGTGAGTGATTAAAAATTAAAACCGAAAAGATGGACAGAATATAGAAATAAGAGGGTCGAGTGTAACATAACTTGAACCTTCGGCAGGTTTCACACCTTTTGGACGATTGACAATTTTTACACCCCCTCAATGCCTCTCCTGTCAAGGCAGAAAGAAGAAGTGATTCGTTTTTCCTCTAGCATATTGCCGATTTCAAACGCTGCGGAGTATATTGCCTCAGAAACATTTCATTTTGTTCAGAGCTGAGGGCATCGCGGGATATATTCAAAATAAAAGCAAACATCTGGTTGAGGCTTGAGCGTACCCTCTTTAACTTAAAGCCCCGGCTAGTACGTTGGCAAACAGTCTCCATATGTTCTGGTGTGCCATATGTTCATGACGTTGGACACTACCGCCTCCCTAGCCTCCTCTGCAACTCCCTTACCCCCCCCCAATCCATATCATCAGGAATCATATACCATTCTGTTGTAATACAGACGCTTTCTCCTTTGCAATAAGGTCAAATTATGGGAGTAGTATGATCAAGTGCGTGATTCGAGTTGACTAAACTCTGATGTGTCGAAAACCTCATGTGAGTGAAGAACGTATTGTTTTTTTAAGGGCGTTCTTCTTTGTCACTAAATGCTTCAAGTGTTTGCTTATTTGCATGGCATAATTTGTGTTGTCCCCACGGGTTGCTCGCCTTTGCCTCATTGAAACATTTTTTTCTTTTAAATGTTTTAATAATTATTTAGATAAGCAGACCTGTTTACGATTTTGGCGTACAATGTACGATTTTGAGGTGTATACATCATATATATACTGTATGGTTATTTTTTACTATTAAGATAATGTATACTTGAACGATTTTGTGATGATATTGTACGATTTTAAGTGTTTGAGGGTAAACAGGTCTGGATGAGACTTTTTATCATAAGTCGTGTCTTCTATTTAGGCCTCAAGATTCTAAGTATTAGAATTGAACGTGTAAAAATTAATTATAAATTTGAATTGAAAAAAACAAAAATAATATACATTTGAAATGCAATATACTAAATTAATTTGAAAAAAAAAGAAATATAAAATATTAAAAAAACCACTCACAATAACAGAATAATCTAAATATTTTCCCCTCTAAAACTCACCCAGTTTTTTTTTTTTTTTTAACGTAAGTACATTTTCTCTTTCAAATTTTAACTTTTCCTAAAAACCTTTAAAAAGCCCATGGTGGATTGTTCGCCCTATTTCGGTAAAAACATGACTAAACCTTTAATTCATTCACTTCGGGCCAACGGGTAATAAAACGGTCGCTTTTAACCCAGTTTTTTTTTTTTTTTTAACGTAAGTACATTTTCTCTTTCAAATTTTAACTGTTCCTAAAAACCTTTAAAAAGCCCATGGTGGAGTGTTCGCCCTATTTCGGTAAAAACATGACTAAACCTTTAATTCATTCACATCGGGCCAACGGGTAATACAACGGTCGCTTTTTGGTTTGGTCCCCTTTTCTTTCTATTTAACTCAGTTGTGAAGATTAGCAAGAACAGACACGATTCTGACAGGAGCTGCACACTATTATAAACACTCAGATCACAATGGAGATACAGACGAGTAAATGATACCTGGAATTCGAAGATCACTCATAAATATTACCTCACAAAAAAAAAGCAATACGTACTCAACTGATTTTGTAGGAATTTGTTTGGTTCGATCTGAGGATAACCGATATCGTATACTTCAGATCCGATTTTCAGACATGGGACTTTGTCCAGTTCGATCAGGGCATAGGCGATGGAAAGCCGAACATCAGCATCGACCCTTTCGCTCAAACAATTTCCGGTTTGGTTGTCTGCAACAGTGATGTCGACTAAAACCTGGCCGTCTGATCTGTAAATAAAAACAGGACGTTTAAAAAAAAAAAATACATTTTAAAGTAACAACGGTGATATCTTAGAAGAGGGTGTAACGGGTCTCTGCCACTGTCACTATAGGCACACCTAATATTTGATGGAGAAATATACCTGACCGTAAATTACGGTGTAGGGATCTTAGTTGACCCTTCTAATCACTTATATCGCAAAAGCTGAAAAGACAACACTATTGGACAGCCAAGCCTTTCTAGTCAATAACCTGTTTTGCAAATTTGACTTTGAGACGGGAATGCGTAATGATAGCTCTGATTAAGTATGGATATATGTCAAGGATTGAAGACATATTTTGACATATATTCCTTTTGGTCATCATCATGTTTTTAAGCTCAAAGTTTCTTGTAAAATGTTGACACAAACATTAAGTGTGTATATCTTATAATAGGGGATTTGATTTGTTTGGAGGAAAAAAAAAACATTGCTAACATTCTTAGCCAGGACAACCATGATCAATGTAATATTAAAATTCTTGATACATCCCAAAGCAACAGTGATGGACTCAGTCTAATTCGTGTTGCGTTTTTTCTGTGCGCTCCGAGCATACGGAATAATGTATGGGCACCCTTGGTTGATGCCCTGTCTTGAAATCCCAAGATCGGCCTACACCATTCATAATAATTATGTTTTACTTCGGAAATAAGCATGTGAGTGTGCTAGACATCCATCTGGTTCCCTGACAGTGCCAAGACGTGTTGGTGAAATGTATGTTGTAATCATAAAAGTAGCCAAATTAAGATCATATTCACATTTGAAAATATTCTCACAAAAGTACTTCCAAAAAGGGTGCATTGAAATGAAAGGTTTAATAAATATATTTGATTGGCAACCAAACTTAAACTTAATACCACAGATAATTTATTTCTAAAATAGTTTCTAAATAAAATAATTATTTAAATGAAAAATTGAAATATATAAAAATGTGCGACTTGTTAAAACTTAAACTTGTGAGTTAAGGGTACATTACCTTACACTTGTCACGTTCAGGTCAAGATTAAAATCAACTCCAGAAAAATCTTTGTTTATGTAAGGTTCCAGGATAACTTTTAGCTGAAAAGCAAAAAGTGCAAATATTAGCTACTGCATACTCATCTATTTTCTTGACATTTAGTTATACCATTGGCTGTATCATTTAGCCCTAAAATTACCAGTGATAATGTCTTTAAATAGAAATCTATACCGGAAAAGGGCATTAAAATATTATCTACAAAGTTATTTTCACGTTTTTCGGTAAAATCGAGATTTTCGCTTTATTAAGTAATACGTTGTCCTTGCGTTAGTGGCGTGATAAATCACAACTTATATTTAAGTTATAAATCACAACTTATATTTACGTTATATTTCCCCACCGTAAGGAATGAAAATCGGCTAAGATCAGACTGAGGACATGTCAGCAAGCTCTACTACAATAACAAACAGTACAACTTGACATAATCATTAGTGGTCAGCTGCTCTTTCAACATAAGCAGGTTAAAAATTTGGCCAGCCCTTTTGCCGCGGTCGAAAAAAATATAGATGGTTATTTATAGAAAAGTGTGCTGAGGGTTAATGAAGTCAGCTAACCAATAGCTCCGCTAATAAGACACAAATGAACAAATCTGAAGATCAGCGCCAAGCTAATTAAAAGGAATGTTTTTTCCCCCCTAAGCTTAGTCAACAGAGCCAAACCAAGGTATTAAATAAGAGTTTAAAGAAAATAATCCTCACATGCGGAATGAGTTGTTTGTTTAGGCGACCGGCTGGTCAAACGAAAAGCGATAACATTCGGAACCGGGAAAAATAAAACGAAATAAGCAGCAAGTGAATCTGTTTTGCCACCTGGTCAGAAGGCCTGTCAAACCAACCTGCAAGTACCCCCCGTTTTAGGGCCAGTGGAAGATCATAACTCCGGTGGATGTGTGATTTAAGGACACCCTACACATCCACAACAAGAACCTTCGGCTGCCCTCTCCCTCCCGCGTTGCCCCCACCCCCATTCCTGGTAAAAGGGAAAAGAAAACGGAGTAGAAGTCAAAAGGTAATGTTCATGTTAAGCGTCACAGCTTTACATTCACGTTTTAATTCCTGCGTGCACATCGAAAAAGAACTCTCTATCGTAACAAAACATTCGTTGTATGAAATCTTGAAGATGTATTTTCCATTATGAATGTCAGAACATTGAACGGAGATGAGAAGATAAGCAGAAATGGAAGCAATCGAAAACAATACCTGATCATCTTCTAATATTTTATTGGAAAAAAAGACGATGTCATAGATTAAAATGAACTCTTACATTATAGAAAAATACAAATAAAATGAACAAGTCTCTTCAGATGTAGTACAAAATTACTTGTATATCTCTTTGCAATGTCATAAACGTGTGGTGGAAAAAAAAATATATTGCCATTTAGTTTTAGCTTCAACCGCTTCTCCCACGAAGAAAAAAAAAAGTTGTCATGGTTGGTAAGCAATAATTTCCATTCTCTTCTAGGGCCTTGAATTAAAATGACTTATAAAAACAGAGTACCCGGTTTTTTTTATGTGTCCTTATTACATATTGTAAAAATTTAAACAAAAAGCAAAAACAACACAATGGAATTCTTAGCCATACTCACAGAGTGGGCGATATCCGTTTTTAGTTGTTGATTTTCAGACGTTCCTTCCATGTAATCGTTTACGGTAAGACTCTTATTGAAAATGAAACTCACGCCAACTTAAAATGTAAGAAAGAAAAAACAAAATAAGAAAAAAAACATAAAAGTTTGAACAAGCTAAAATGTTCCCCAATAGAGTTTAATCTAACGTTTTAATATATAATTCTACTCAATGCCATTATTTTATTTCAGAACCCATCACTACGCCCAAACCCATCATTACGCCCACACCCATCATTACGCCCACACCCATCATTACGCCCACACCCATCATTACGCCCACACCCATCATTACGCCCACACCCATCATTACGCCCACACCCATCATTACGCCCACACCCATCATTGCGCCCACACCCATCATTACGGCCACACTCATCATTACGCCCACACCCTTCATTACACCCACACCCATCATTACACTAACAGCCCTTATTACACCACCTCACCACAGATACTTACTTAAAATATCTCCAGAAAAATCATCCCCGTCACACTCAATTCTCACTACCGCATTGCTTTGTCGCTTCACTCTGACATTATATGCGCTGGGCCCTTGAAATGCAGCCTCTATTTCACCGCTGTCCTTCATTGAAAAGGAGCCTCTCGCTTCTCTGCTGGATGCGTCGGCAATAGGTATGTATTCTTTACTGATGGCCTCCTTGCTCGACGCTTTGACATTTTCTTTTTCTCCAGGATTCGAACCGAAGCGTTCTCCCCTTTTACGCCGACTCGGCGAAAGGAAACCTCCACTTCCAGGCACACCTTCTGATGCATTGGTTACACCTTTACTGGAATTTTTATCGCTATCCTCGTTTGAACCCTGTTCACCAGAAGGATTTTTCTCATGTTCTTTTCCAGGAAAACTATCCGTAGATAATGCATTAGAGTGCAGTGAGTTCCTGGGATCGAACATCGGGGCTTGCGTAAAGATGAGAAAGATTTCTTCCGGCGTCATGTTCTCCTGCTCTGCCCACGGACGTCTCTGCCTTGGCGTTGTATCGGTTACTTCGTTGTACTGTTCCCATGACTCTTCTATACCGTCCATGTCCCGAACTGACCTATCCCTGAACAGTGCACGCTCGCGGGATTCTTCCCCTATGATGTCGTTATTGAAATCTGAAACGTGAAATGTATATTATTTATTTAAAAGAGGGGGGAAAAAACAAGAAATAAAAACATTTAATTGATTGTTAAAATAATAAATAGATTTAAAAAAAAAAAAAAAGAAAGGTAAGAAGAGACATTACGCTCACACCCATCATTACGCCCACACTCATCATTACGCCCACACCCATCATTACGCCAACACCCATCATTAATCCTACACCCCTCAAGACCCCCACACCCATCATTACGCCCACACCCATCATTACGCCCACACCCCTCATTACGCTCACACCCATCATTACGCAAACACCCATCATTACGCTCACACCCATCATTACGCCCACACTCATCATTATGCCCACACCCATCATTACGCTCACACCCATCATTAGGCCTACACCCCTCAAGACCCCTACAACCATCATTACGCCCTCACCCATCATTACGCCCACACCCATCATTACGCCCACACCCATCATTACGCCCACAACCATCATTACGCTCACACCCATCATTACGCCCATACCCAGCATTACGACCACAACCATCATTACGCCCACACCCATCATTACGCCCACACCCATCATTTCGCCCACAACCATCCTTACGGCCCCACTCATCATTACGCCCACACCCTTCAATACACCCACACACCCTGAACAGGTCACGCTCGCGGGATTCTTCCCCTATGATGTCGTTATTGAAAACTGAAACGTGAAATGTATATTAATTATTTAAAAGAGGGGGGAAAAAACAAGAAATAAAAACATTTAATTGATTGTTAAAATAATAAATAGATTTAAAAAAAAAAAAAAAAGAAAGGTTAGAAGAGTTCAAGGTTGCGGGTGGAGATTTTTTGTTGGTCGTCTTTTTTCATCACAACCTCATGAACAACCCGCAAATGCCCCAAGGTTTCTTAAACTGATCACCTGGTGTTGGACTAGTAGATGGTAATTCCTCCATATTACGGATTAACTAGCTGTTGAAAATATAAGCACGGGAAATAGCTAGCTTATCTAACTTACTTTGGTGTGTGACACCAATCCCTGTAACGCTGTAGGCAAACTGGAGCACCCAGCAGAGTAACATCGGGACCTTCATTGGTGGCGTTGGTGTTTTTGAGAAGATGTTCTTCTATCAAGGATTCGCCAGCAAATATATTATTATACACCTATGTATCGTTTTTCCTAAAAATAAAATATCTATTGTAAAAGAAAGCACAATATAAAAATGTGAGAAAATTTTTTACAGTTTCATCAAGTAACAATTAGTGAAATAACGTAAAGAAAATACTGCGAAATGATTTTTCTTTTAAATAAAAAAACTGGATGTGACTATAATATTTTATTTGCCTATAACATAGAATATTCATTTTAAAAAAATGATAAAGTGTTTTATGTTTATATTTCAAATATTATTATTTTTTTTTAAAATATTAATTTTATCTTCTATATAATAAAATCCATCCAATACTATATCAAGACCTCCTCTATTATTTAAAATGCAATGCTAGAATTGAAACGTGACTAAGTTTTGCAAGGTAGGACGTTTCCCAACATTCTTTTACTTCCTTGTCATTCTAAAAAAAATAAATTATGCCATGGATTTAACAATCTATTCCACATAGTTCTAACTAAAACCTTCTGAAATATGACATTTAAGAAGAAAAAAAAAGAAACCTACCTTAAGTTAGTAATAAATAAATTGTGTTTAACTTTGCACATCAAAGTTAACGCACAAAAAATATGTTCGCTGTTAGTGTCACTAGTTTCTTACAAAGTGCAGACGAGAGCTTACCAGCCAGTAGCTCGTGTCGTAATATAGAAATATATATATATATATATATAGGCCCAAAGGAGTAGATCCAGGAAGTTTGTAAAGACAGGGTAACTGCAAGCGTAATCTCCTGCGACAAAACATCAGCGTCCGTGGAGAGGAGTTGGTGTTGATTGTTTGTTCTGTATAGTAGAAATGTGTGTAGAGATACAGGGTTCTTCTCTTGCCATGCCGGTGTTGTCATTTTATTGTTTTCATCTCTTGCCTTGCCAGTGTTGTCATTTTATTGCGTTCTAATCTTGCCTTCCCAGTCTTGTCGTTTTATTTGGTTTCTCTGTTGCCTTTTCATTGTTGTCATTTTATTGTTTTCATCTCTTGCCTTGCCAGTGTTGTCATTTTATTGCGTTCTAATCTTGCCTTCCCAGTGTTGTCGTTTTATTGGGTTTCTCTTTTGCCTTTTCATTGTTGTCATTTTATTGCCCCCTTTAACGGTAATGACCGTTACAGTCATCGGCAATCATGGTCTTGGCCCATTGTGCGTTCCCTAGGTGGGCAAATGTGCAGTTATTTTTAAGGGGCTTGTATATATATTAAAATTTAAAATATTTTTTTACATGGTACTAGATAGTAGCTTTTCGGATATCTGAGATATGACGTGTGGGGATTGCCTCAACCTCACCTTAGATTTCACTTCTTGCATTTGTGATGAAGCCCCAACTTCCATGTCACTTCCAGATGTAATGAATCACCCTGTGATGTGTGGGTCTGTATTGCAGAGTTGAGCTTCTTGCAATAATACTACATGAACAGATATCACGTACGAAGGTGTCATATCTCTACTTTTTTCTTGATGTCCCGCAAACTTTGATTTGCTTGATATTCATATGTGTGTGTGTGTGTGTGATATGTCTCACCTTTAATTGAATGTATGGTTTTCTAGCCGAGGTTATAAAGTCAGAGGCAAACCATGTCTTCTGCCTTTGCAGACAAACTTACGACTCTGTTAACACTTGGATTTAAAAATAGTTGAGTTGTGACTTATAACACCGGTTGCAAGTTTGATATGAAATATATATTTCCAGCGTATCTGACATAGATGGTTTCATGAAAACGTAAATAGGACAAGCTATAGACACGGTTAAAGACACCGCTTACGTCACCATGCTATTTCTCAATGCGGCATAATATTTTTTTTTAATGTTTCCACATAATTTCTCATGACTTTTCTCATTTTACTAAGTCGTTAAAAGTTATACATAAGTCATAGCTAATGTTACTATTACATGCCTCGAGTTAACTTTTCATATCTTATTTGATCACGTCATTAATTTTTTTACCATGTCATATCTTGTGTCAGCCTGCTTACTCGGGTACTCAGTCATTAAATGTCAGCATACTATTATTAATGTTACCATGTGCCTGCACATTTTACTATATGATTGCTAATATCAACCTTTCATTTCATGGCCCACCATGTCATCCCTCCTGGAGTATACTAGAAAAACAACAGTAACTCCATTCATCAGACATAAGACATTAAAACACAAGACATTTTACCACGCATGGAAATCCTGATCAGATCTTTGACTTCCTGGTGAGATTAAGAAATGTCCCCTATTTTGACTAACAGTTCCCTCTATACACATTCCTCGCGTATCTAATGTTACTTTACGGATGGGTGATCCCAGCTAAGGATCCAGTCCAAGCCTGGGTCTGGTAATAAAATCGTACCTTGAACGTATTACACAATAATATAGGGCCTTCATATAAATAGGCCAGACTTGTCCCACCGTGTCACCTGACATTGCCCGACAAAATCATGGTGTGAACGTGTGATTCTTCCGATTTCTGTCATCAAAATAATAAAAGGGTAAACCACAAGGTAGCTTTCTTAAATTATTTTTATTCTTACAATTCAAGTGAAGCGTAACTGCCGCGTTCTTACCAACCTATTTTTCTTTGCCTCACCCGTTCAACAAAAGAGTAGGCAGGCTGATATTGCCAGTGTGCAACGGTTCTTTCGTTATTAGGTTAAGGTTCAGGGATAGTAAGGAAAGGATATTGCTTAACATTTGTGTTAATTTATCAAAATAATTTTTTAAAGCAAGTTATAGTTTTTTGGTGAGATTTTTTTTTTTTAAGGTTAATGCATTAAGCGTTGTGTTTGGCATAAGATCAGCGAGTAAGAAGCACGTAAATTTGATCAAATTTGTGGACTGAATTTTAATATACAGAGAGACTGCATTCAATAAGACCTGACAAAGAATAAGGCTCACTGAAACTAAAGTCACTGGCCATTATCTCTATAGGTGGGTACATTTTTCTTTGACAGAAAATTACTTATAAGAAAAAAAAAATTTAAATGAACTGCAGTTACTTCATTGTAATAGACAACATACTACAAACAATGGACCCAAGTATAGTAGAGTAGTTTTGAAAACAATCATAACACGAGAAGCCGTAAAGAATGAGGAATGGCTACCATCACCCATGGACATCATTTGGGTAGGGCATTTGCCTCTTCCCCCCCCCCCCCCCCCCCCCCCCCAGAATTTGCAGGTTTTATTTAAAATGCTATGTGGCACCTCCAGTAAAGAACAACTTAACAATCCGACCAATTTTTGGTTTTTGCCCCCCCCCCCTCCTCACCCCCTGAAGACACCTGAAATGACGCCCTTGCCGTCACGTGGTGACATGCTTAGAAAGAGGCCCGACTTGTACTGACCCGACAGGGAACCAGTGCAGCCATCGTCGTCAAAGGGGCAGCCATCGTCGTCAAAGGGGCAGACACGATGCCCTATGCCACAAGCAAGTGAAACAGAGCGGGCTCGGATGTCAACGCCATTCATGTCACGTTACTGTATTCAAAACATATCATTGTCATGATGAATACAATATCAACGAGACAGAAGTTACAGAGGCCGGCCCGTGGATGTTGAAAAGATAATGGAGTTTAGATTGGGCGGTTAGGGGGGGGGGGTGGGGGCGATGGGTTGTAAAAACATTTCGACTGTTTTAATCTAACGTTATAGCGCCACGGACTTGGTTACA